GATTGGATGGAATTCAGTCAAGGAATTTTATAGGTTTTTTTTATATCTGATACAGTATTACAGTTAGGTTTTAAAAAAATGTTTATTTCTTATAGATATACACTGAAATATTTCTTTAAATACTGCTTTAAAATAATTGGGGTGAGAGTAGCCAAAGGAAGAGAGCGCCACGGGTACAGATAAAATATGATTGGCCATGAGTTGATAACCCTTGACACTGAGTATTCAGTACACAAATTTCATTACACTATCCTCTCTACTGTTCCAGGTTTGAAATGTTCCATAATAAACTATAAAAAAAAGGAAAAAAGAGAAAAGAAAAATACTACACACAAATCATGATATATAAGATATAAAACAATGGTTCTTAACCTTTTCGAGGGGTGAGGGGAAGCAAAAACTCACAGACCCCCTTTGATATATGAACTATGGATCCTTACTTCAGAAAAAGATAAATATGATGCCTACACGAACAATCTTCAAATAATTTCAGGAAATTCACTGATCCTCTAAAGTCCATTAATAGACATGGATTCCCAAGTTAAAAACTCTTGACAAAATGAGACTCTTAAAAATAACTTCACAAAATAGAGCACAACTACACATCCAAAAAATAAAGCCCTTCAAAAACGTCATTTTGTAAGGTTCCTACATTTATTGCGATGATTATTCAAATCACTGTCAGAATCTTTTTCTTTTAAATACCAATTAGTTAAGTGGTATTAAATCCTCTCCAAAACCTAGTTATTCACCTAAAGATGGATTCCATCATATAACTATGACTACCACTACTGTGCATCTTACTCTATGCAAATTACACCTCATTAAATTTTTTTAATTACAAAAATAAAATAACAAGTGTGGTTCCATCATATAAGTTCCATTTATAAACAATGGTCTAAATATCCTAAAGTAGTTGCCCCTCGAAGCTTCTCAGAAAGAACTAAAGGAGGCAACTGACCAAAAGGAAAAGGAGGGATTCAGTTAGAAATTCATCAATCCATTCCATAATTATTTCTTAAGCACCAACTGTACACATGTCATTATGCTAGGAGTTGGAAATAATAATGGTAAACAAACCTAGATGTAGACTCACTTTAACAGAGCATTTCTCCAGCAGAGAAGACAACACATTTTTGCAAAGAGATAAGGAGTAAAAAGGAAAGGTACACAAAAGTGTAAAACAAAGGAATATAATGTTGATGAATGAATCAAAAGGTTTCTCTGAGATATCAAAGTTGAGATATCAAAGATCAATAGGAGTTAAGGGGAGTAGGAAAAGAACATTCTAGAAAAAGGGAACAGCCTATATAAAGGTTCTGTGGCAAGACAATAACACAGGAGTTGTAGAATCTGAAACAAGATCCAAGTGGCTAGGAACACAGACAGCTACAGGCAAGAGTTGAGGGTAGAGAGAGAGGTATGGGCTGATGGTATAAACAAGACCTACTAGTCCTCATTAAGTATGGAAAGTGATTGAGGATAAGAGTCAACTTTTGAAAAGCTCACCTGGCTCTGGTGTAGAGAAAGCCCTTTCAGAGATGGCTATAAATTTCCCAATAGTAATAAGACTAAAAAAATTCCAAGCTTGCTATAGCATTTGCTCTGAGAGTTCCTACTAAGTTTCTGGAAATTAAAAAACAAACAAACAAACAAAAACCTGAATAGCTGTTGATAATAAAAATAGTTTTTATTTACAAAGTACCTGAAAAATAAATAAAGTATATTCCATTTTTATTAAGCTTCAAATAAAGTATAAAAAGTTAAAGCAAAGCCTACATTAGTTTCTCAGGAAGCAACTTTTTAGGGATAAATTCTAACATCTTGATCTCCCTTTAATATTCCCCTTTCCTCGTAAGTCTCTTATGAAAGTGTACACAAAAGAGGCTGTTTTATTAATATCACCTATAACATCTCTTTCTACCACCTCATCATCACTAATGAATTCGGTGGACCTCAAGATTAAGAGGAAAAATACACTGAATTTTACATTCACTTTGAGAAATACTCCAGAAGAGGTAAATACTTTCAATAAATAAATTACCATGTAAGGAAGAAAAGTACAAATTCATTGTAGCGGTAACAGAAAGGACTTATTTCCAAAATAAACAAAATAGGAGCTTTAAAAAAAAAAGCTCCTATATCTCCATTGCTAGATATTCAATTATTTGTTTTTTATTTATTGGAAACTTAAAAAGCTATTTCTGCTCTGTACCTCAACTATTATCTCTAATTCTACAAATATCCTTAGCTATAAATATGAATTAATAGTTGATATTCAATTATTAAGTAATTTAAAAGTACTTATTATAAATAGCACATACCTGTTAAAAAGAAAGGAGCTTAGCCCAACTATCCTACCCTACCCACAAAGATAGTCAACCATTTGGTATGTATTTTTCTTCACATACGTATTTATGTATACTCATATATGTATATATATACGTGTGTGTGTATATAGTTTAAATACAGTCATTGGTTCATCATACATTGTGTTCTATAAGGTGTTTTTTCATTCATCAAAAATATATGAAAGACCTAGAGTTCTAGTTTATTATTTTTAATAGTTGTAATTAATTGCAAGCATAATCCCATAACTTAAATTTGTTTAATAATTTTCTAATAAACAGATTTGTTTTTAACTTCCCTATGTAACAAAAAATGCTGCAATAAACATCCTTATACATATTTATGCATTGTGTTATCTAAATATCTATCTCATGTTTATGCTGTGTTGTTATCTTCTGTAGCATAAATTCTGAAACTTGGATTTGAAACTTTAAGGTCACAGGATACAAACATTAATAGCATATCCACATACATAATTCTCAAAACCATAATCCATCATATATTTTTAAAGATCATGATTATTACATGTAACAAAGTAATTTCCTACTCTACTTATAAAGCTAATATCTTAGCATAGAAATATAAGTAAATCTAAATATTAAAACTTTAACTTTCTTACATTTATTAATAAGATCTGACTTTGAAAACTAGGACAATAAAAATCGATATCAAAACATTCAAGTGAGTACCTATTTGCCAAAACATTAAAAATTTAATACACAGAATCCTGTAATGTATTTGCATGGGACATGGCAAAAAAGATATCATAGTATATTTTACTGTATTTTAAAAACCACTCTGTTTAGTAAAGGGTTGTCTCTTCTAAAGTTAAAAACCACATTTATAGTTTACTATTTAAACAACCTGGAAGTTATTTTAGAGTGTGATATGAAACTAAGATTTAACAGTGTTTTTCTCCCAACAGTTCTCAGTTGTGCTAATACATCGTTCACGTGTACATTTTTTTTCTAACTTGAAATACTACTTTAACATATTCTAAAAGTCTTACAGATATTTGGAACTATTTCTGAGCCATTTTTCTCATTAACTTTGTACCAGGCTACAATATTTTACTTACTACGGTTTTATAATGTACTTTATAACAGTACAAGTCCCATATTAATTCTTTTTCCTAAAAATGTATTTATTATTGCCAGCTTTATTCTTCCAATTGAATATTACTTATACTGATAAGTTTCTTTCCCATACTCTATCCTCATCAGAATTAAATTTACAAATTAATTCCAAGTGACATCTTCACAATATTCAGTCAAGCGTGGTATTGCTCTTCACTAAAAATCTTCTTTTATATGTCTGTATAAATTTTGTGTTTTCTTCCTAGAGATCAATATATTTCAAACTAAGTTGATTCCTAAGTATAATCCCTGCGGAGGATTGGTTCCAGACCCATCGCGGATACCAAAATCCAAGGATGCCCAAGTCTCAGAGGTGGCCCTCCCTATCAGCAGATTCAACCAACTATGCCTTGTGGAGCACTGCATGCATTCACTGAAAAAAAAAATCCAAGTATAAGTGGACCTGCACAGTCCAAACTGGTGTTGTTCAAGGGTGAACAGTTTATATTTACCTGCTGCAATTGTGATTCTTTTTCATTTTTCAAACTAGCTATTACATAAAATAAACATTAAACATTTAAACATTTTAAATGTTTTAATTAAAATTTAAACATTTTAGATAAATATTTAAATACTGAAAATGGCTTGAACTAAAATTTCTCCTAAAAACATAGAAATCTTAAACTAATAACTTATCTTTTTGCTAACTACAAGGGATTAGATTTTTTTTAAATGTTTACTACTTTACAAAAAAGGACAAGAAAAAAATAAATACAATTAATTAATTTTTTCAAATTCTCTACAAAGAATATTAACAGCTTTTAAAATAAAAGGAAAAGAAAACATTATTTTTTAAAAGAAAATTTTTTTTTTTAGTTTTCAAGTAAGTGACTTTTATTTTCCTGATGTTTCAGTCAATTTCTACAAAACTTCAAACTTCCTCAAAAGAATTCAGATTTGGTAAACAAATCTATTTAAGTTCATAGCTGGAAAAACACTTCAATATATGCATGAGGGTTACTTTTCTGCTGAAAGAATCATAGTAAAGTCAGACAATACCATAATCAATAAAAAGCAATGAGAGTGTAATAAATTACAAAATGCCACTAAACCCATTTCTATAACCAATTCAATCAGCAGCTTTTCCTGGATGTGTCTCAATATTGCCAACACAACCTGTCAAAACTTCTCTTAAGGGTTGGTTTGAGATTATATTCAATGAAAATCAAAAATAAAAAAAAATAAAATCTATAGTTGAAAAGTGTAACCTGGCCCCTTTTTTATAGCTCATACTTCTGCCCTACCAGTGTTCTATGCTCTGGCCATATTCTCTTTTCAGTTTCTTTTTCTCTATAGCTTCATGCATAACTTCACCCCAGGGATTCTGTATGGGCAGTTCCAGCCTAGAATACTGTCCTACAACTGCTATTTAAATAATGGCTCTTTCCAATCCTGTCAGTGTCAGCAGGCCTTTCTTGACCACTTTATCTAAATAGGAAACCTTTCTCCCTTCTTCAGTATTTTCCACTCCAACAAATATGGTTCATTTCCTTCCGAGAGCTTTGGATTTTATACCTTGTTTATTAGACCTTATTCCTTACTGTCTAGCTTCCCCATCAAATTATAAATTCTGCAAGAACAGGGTCTTTTTCTGTTTTGCTCTCACCTGAGTGCTCACTAAGCACTCAAGCTAGTAAGTATCTTACAGCATCTGGACATATGACAGGTACTTAATGTATACCAACAAATCAATGAATCATATAGCTTATATGACCTTGGGCAAATCATTTAGAACCTTTGGTTCAGGTTTCTACAATGATAAGTTACTTTCTAAATCTAAAATCCTCTAAATATATTTTAGTACCTTCATGTGGAAAACAGGATAGTACTGGTTACAGAGAAACTTTTAAAATACATGTCCTTAACTAGACTTGGCATCTTTTAGTATGCGAAGGTAGCTATGGACACAGTTATAAATACACTGCAAGTTTTCTTTTTATTTATACAGACAATGCAGAATTCTGAAAATCATTTCTTCTACTAGATAGTACACCCATCTTATCACCTGGGTTATAAAAACTATATTTGAAAGCAAGTCAAGCTGATATTCCAGCAAGCAAATCAATTCAGGCCCATAATGCCTCACTTCCAGAGTATAAAAACAAAGTAACGAGGATATCACAGAGAATGATTATTTATTGGTGACCATGGTAATGGCAACTTTATTAGCAAGTCCTCAATAAAACACAATGAACAAAATAATAAAGTACTGGAACATGACCTGAAGGCAGTCAATACCTATTTACAGGAAGCAAACTCACAGTACTTGTGTAAGTACAACAAGCTCTTCACTACCTTCAAGGGTAGAAATTGTGTCTTAGCTGATAGTCAGCATACATCTTTTTTAAGACTGTTAATTTATAGAGAATCAGGATACAACAGGTAGTACTGCCTAATGGTTAGAGTACAGGCTCTGGCTCTAAACTGCCTGAGTCTGAATTCCAGCTAAATGACCAATAAGCTATGTATCTTTGGAAAAGTTACTTAACTAATCTGTGGCCTCAGACTCCTCATTTGTGAAATGGGGATAATATAAGTACCTATGTCAAATTTAAATAAAAAGATTAAATAAGTTTAACACATCAGTGGGCAAAATTGATTACAATAACTGCTCTCAAGGGTTTCTAATGAACAAAAATTATTGGATAAACAAAGATACACAAATTATTAGGGCAACATATGATAGTAAAAAATGGTTTTGCTACTGCAAATTTTTAAACTAGGTTAACAACTACAAAGACATTTCAAGGTATAAGTCTTAAATAAAGCACTCAAGTGCTGTTACTGTAAATACCAAATTCCCTAAGGAAAAACCTGGAGCTGTGCTATCCAGTTAATTTTAATTAACTAAAATAAAATAACATGTAAAGATTCAATTCCTTAG